TTCGCGCTATCCCCACTTTCTCATGTTCAAAGAAAAAATCACATTGCCTCCCCTCCTTTTTCCTTTCCCCTCCTTTGGTGTTTTCTGTAGTCGGCGCCCCGCTGTCCTCAACCCTGTGCTGTTTCCTGGCGGCGGTTCTTTTCCCCTCCGTTGGTTTCCTTTTTCTCTTGTTTTCCTTTCTTTCTTTATAAATTCCGTCTTTTTTTCTTCCCCCCCTTCCCCCCCCCTTTCTCGGCGCCCCCCTAGTTTGGTATTCCCTTATTATTTCCACCACCTCTTTTTTTTTATATTCCTTCCTTCCCCCCCTAGTTCCTATTGTGTCTCCTCCTTCCCTCTCCCCCTTTTCTTTTCCCCCCCCCTTTTTTCCCCGTTCCCCTTTTCCCTTTGTGTTTGCGGGATCGCAGTGTAACTGCTTCTCGGATTCATTCCGTCCTACGCCTTCCCCTTTCCGACCCAACTCCCTTTTTTTTATTATTTTTCTGGTTTCCTTTCCCGTTAACTTGACACGATGGGGAAGGGTCCCCTGATTCACATTATTCTCCTAGTTTCCCTGATTAAGTTGGGAAGAATGGGGGGGGTAACTGAAAGGGGGGGGGGGGGGAGAAGGCAGGATAGATAATCGGTACTAACAGGACAGACAAAAGGGGAGAGAAGTCGAGAATCGGGGAAAGAAGGGGGGGGACTAGTTGTATTAAAATTTATTATTTGTTTTGACATAAACTTACATTGGGTGTTTGTTACATTTTTCTGTTTCTCATGGGTGTCCTCTTGCGCGGTCGGGGGTCAATGCGGGGGGTCTGCTCCCCGTGCTTTGTACCCCCCCCTCAATCTCGATCCCCCATTTCCCCGTGCGGCCCCATTCTTTTTTTAAAAATTTTTTCTTTATCATGCGTCTATACTTTTTCTATCGTGGACATTCTCCTATAATAACTGGGAACCTTCAATCTCTCCCAGTCGGTCTTTTTTCACTCCCCGTCCTTCGTACGGCCGGCCTTCCTTCTCCTCCACCTCCCCCTCGGGCCTTCCTCTCCTCAGGGTTCTCACCCCATCCTTCTTTTTTCCTGCCTACCACCCCCCCCCACCTTCGTCTCAGCAACTCCATTTTTAATCTCCCCCCACCTTTCCTCCTTCTTTTCGTTAACTTTGTTTTTTTAATCTCATCCCCTCTCTTAACCGACCCGCTCCGTCTTGTAAACCTCCTCCACATGTTCCTTACCTCTTTTTGTTGGTTTTGCCTCTTCTTCTATATCTCTTCGTTTTCTCGTCTTCCTTCATTTCTTTTGTTTCTTTTTTCTTTTTTATCTTTTTTTTTTTTTTTATTATTTTTTTTTTCTTTTTTTTTACTTTATCTTTTTTTTTTTTTTTTTTTAGTTGTTCTTGCTGTGTCTAGTTGTTAATTTTTGATTTTTTTGTTGGTTTTCTTATTTTTCTTTTTTTTTTTTTTTTTTTTTTTTTTTTTTTTTGGTTTTTTTTTTTTTATTTATGTTCTTGTTTTTTTTTTTTTTTTTGTCTTATTTTTTTTTTTTTTTTTTTTGTTTTTTATTTCTTTTTCCATCTTCTTTAAGGTTCTTAACACTTAAGCACGTGTATACAACTACCATTATAATTTTGCCAAAATCTCTGTATCAATCGTTTTCTACGTCCAATACCCACAATAAAAACACATTACGGCGTGTTTTTTGCACCACCGATAAAACTCTAATACCCAGCAACAACAAAACCTGTGAAAGCGTTACTAACACCAAACTACACAACCTGCGACTTCGGGCCTTTACAAAAGCTGAAGAATACGCTTTTTGGTTTTAATTGATCTAACGCAACGGAGTCCATCACCTATATGTCCCCTCCCCTCTCGCACCCTTCAGACCCGTGACTAAAAGCTGGAGTGATAGATCCCTTTGCCAGCTAAGGGCCCTTCATCTTATTCTAGCCTATTCTCACTTGTACTCTGACAATTCTACCCCCTATAAAATACTTCCCTCCTTCTTTTCCCTAATTTTTTTTTTTTAATCTTTTTTTCTGTTTCTTCACCTTCCACCTCATCCTCTTGAAGCGAAATCAAGCACATGGGATCTATTTAAACAATGCTCCGTGGTGTTCATACGGCTTAATCGTTAGACGCTTAATAATTTTCTTCCCTCTGATCTGTGTGCCTGTCAACCTGTGGGAGATCACTATGGTGTGGAAACACTGTGGTAGATTTTTATCCCCCCCCCCCCCCCTGCTAAACCCATTATTCAATCATTGATTTTGCAAGAAAAAATCACGTCGGTGTTGAAAACCAAACATGTTCTGATCATCCAAATCAAGAAACCTGCTGCCGATGCTGTTCTGCGAGAGCATTCCTCATCTGGACTAGCTGAATGGCTGTCCATTTTCAAGTGATGCTTGATGAGAGCAGCTTTGAATGACATTCAGGTACAGATGGAGGTGAATACGTTGTTACGGGAATCTGTATAAACGTACAAATTCTATGAAATATCTCCAAATTTAGATATGAAAAGCCGGCCGAAAGGCTAACTACTTTACAGAGCCCTTAGGCATTAACGACATATATGGAAGCGGACAAGTATTGAAGATTTCCATCGAATTAAGCAATAATTGGGAGTAAAGCGCGAAGATGGAAAAATTTAAAGATTCTATTGGATGGAAATGTTACCCTAGCAGATTTTTTTGCATGCAGTTATGTTTTTGCAGTGATATCTACTTTGATTGTGTGATTTTCAGTCCTTTAGACTTCCCGAGCGTTACGTTAAAACATAGATCCTATCTTACTACTCGAAATACGACTTGGTAAAGTGTGAGATTGTTCATCATTGTAAAGTATAAATGTACAAGTGTGTACATAATTATGAAGCTAGTAGCATTAATACAAACAACATACATAACTAAACAAAAGCTTCAATTTGACCGGCTTTGTGAGAAGTTCAGCTTCTATGACATGATGATTCTGATCATGATACTATTTTACATAAATGCCTGTCTAGGCAGAAGCGAAAATACTCCAAATACAAATTTATACTAATTTGTTATTAATATGTATAGAAGTTAGAGAATTGAGTGGTGAGCAAAAACACGGCCTCAGCCGGTGATTGAACCCACGTTTTCGTCCTATCCGGGGGACGCGTGCTCTAACCACTACACCACAGAGGCACATTTGCCCGACCACCTCATTCTTCAACATCTCTATGTTGGCTATCAGCCACCAATCTTTAACAGGTTTGGTCGGATATACGATTTCGCTTTATAAATCCCGTTAAGCTGACAGCTATTGTTATATATAATACCTCGAAATTATAGTATTTCTACTGCTTATTTCGCAGTTTTATGTATGATGTTGCTTATATATCTTAGAGAATTGAGTGGTAAGCAAAAACACAGCCTCAGGCGGGAACCGCGTTTCATTCTATCCGGGGACGCGTGCTCTAACCACTACACCGAGGCACATTTGCCCGACCACTCATTCTTCAACATCTCTATGTAACATCTATAAAGCGAAATCGCATATCCGAGCAAACCTGTTAAAGGTTGGTGGCTGATAACTAACATAGAGATGTTGAAGAATGAGTGGTCGGGCAAATGTGCCTCGGTGGTGTAGTGGTTAGAGCACGCGTCCCCGGATAGGAAGAAACGCGGGTTCGATTCCCGCCTGAGGTCGTGTTTTTGCTCGTCACTCAATTCTCTAAGTTATGTAAGTAACATCATAAAACTGCGAAATAAGCAGTAGAAAGACTATAATTTCGAAATATTTATAGAAGGATGTAAAAAACTCCGTTGTGTTTCCAAAATGCACAGAAATATCATATTTACACACCAATTAAGTCGAAACAAAAGACAGATTATTAGTAGAAATAGTCTCCTTTTATATGAAGACAATGTAACCACATATTCAGCACCATAAAGGATCCGCGGGATAAAACTCGCGATTCTTTGATTTGAAGAAATTTTGAGGATTTGGCTCAATTTCGAGGAATTTTGAGACTTTGGACCTTCCAAGAAGTACTCCATATGAACGGAATAGATGATAGTCACTTGGTGCCAAGTACGAGCTGTACGGCGAAACACTCCAAAACTCTACAGTCAAAGCCTACCAATTTGGTGGGCAGCACACGAATTCCTTCCTTGAATAGTTCTATTCTGAACACTGTGTAGACAAACGATATATCGTTCGATGCATGAGAAACGAGCTTTCTCGTGAACTTAGGTTCGCGCAAAACATATGTAAAAATCATTTTCTCAGAAGATACGACAGTACTTTTCCTACAACTTATCATTCACATATATAAATAAATATATATATATATATGTATATGTATATGTATATGAAGAGATCAACAAGCATGAAGGAAGCGCAACGTATAACCAGTGGTTCGACAATGCACAGGTTTTTTCAAATGGGCCATAGTTTTAGGATCTGCAAAGTGATAGCAAATTTGTCTGATCGATGCTTTTTGGGATTGACAAAGCTTGGAATCGCCTGCAGACTGCAGAGCGTCTTAAAACATTTATGCCAAGACTCCAAGGGGAATCATCATCGATTAGTATTCAACTGGATTCATGAGAACGCAGAGTTTTCAACTGGCATTCAAATCCCCACACAACTCGAGGTCTTTAAGGATACCGAATATGTCACAGCGAAGCGATAGAGACGACCTCTTGAGAGCCGCACGTGCAGCAAGTATTGTACCTCTAAGTAAACAAAAATATCAAAAAGTCATTATTGGAAAGTTTCCAGTAACAGGAATCTTTTGAATTTTGATACTAAACTATTCGAGTAGATACCGTTAGCAGAAAATTTCTGACAGCAACTAATACGGTTAAAACAAAGCTTGAAGAACATTAGAGCGACAACTTCGATGCTCTAGTGCGAACACGCATTACCGGTAGGGGTTAATCACGGGTCCTTCGGAGCCATCAAGTTTTGCTTGCATCTCAGCATTCCCACGGCCAAGTGGTTGTGATACCCGTCACGGAACAGCGTGGGGCTGATCCCTTTCACCCTACACTCTCTGGCAGTCAACATCGAACGTCCTATGGAACGCCAAAGCCAGGCTACCTCCGGGACGTATTCAAGCAGTATTTTACGACGTTGAAGATGAAGGCGGAAAACGAATCAAATGTTCGAAGTGCTGAGATTAGCAAATTAAATAAAGTTTAAGACGGATCAAATTGAGAGAATAAAAAAAGCCTTTTCATGAGTGGTCATAGACGCCATAGAACCCACGACAAAAAAATGCAACAAAATCCTTTTAACTGGTCAAACCTCTTTACCAATACCTCAGTTACATTGATTCTCTTAAAACATCCCATAATGCACTAAATTAGAGTATTTTCTTACTTTTCGTCAGTGTAGTCTGAATTTACACTTTTTTCCTGCTATTTAGATGCTTGAATCAGAAATATCACGTCATATCAAGAAATGCTATGGGAGAACTTCTCGTAAAGCCATTCACCATTGAAAATGACTATCACTATGGCTTCGCTTGCCGATACTTACCTTTGCAGATGAACCGGAAACACGGCGACTGAAACTTTGTTGAAAACTTCTAGTAATCACATTCTCTAACATTATCATTCCCGTTATTATTGGTCTTATTTTTACTATGGTATCTGCAACAGTTAGAGGTATGTTGTACTGCACATGTAAAGGTGGTTCGATCCCGTGCCCTGGGCAAGCCAATCCGAACATCTTTTTGGAGTTATTAAATTGGCACCAGACTTGCTTGAAAGGGTAGAAGCACAAGTCTACAAAATTTGATATTTCTCCACAAATTGGCCAAGCATCCGATCAACCACAAAAGTCTGTTACGATTGATGAGATTGAATGCTTAGTACTTCTCTCAGGGAATTCATCAACACGGGATGGTTTGTCTTTTAGAACCAATAATTTTAAAATTTTAATGGAAGCTCTGCTGATGCCGTCCCCAGTTACCAATGAATGACGATAACAAGAATGGTGTAGTTGATAGTAGATTGATAAAGCGATTTATTTTAATGTGAATGAAAAGATATTTTGCCTGCTTTTCGCGCTGCCGTTGCACCAAATTAATGTGCTTCTCACGTAGTCATGAATGGTGACAGTTTCCTGACTCCAGATAGATGGAATAATTTTGTGAGCACGGGGATTCTATGTGTATTGCTGAGCACTCTCTGACTACTATGCAACGGTACCAAACATAGAGGATACAAATAAAATTTTATGCCCAGTAAGACTGGATTACCTGGAATTCAGGCGGAGCAACGGGAAGAATAATATTATAGCATGAATGCGAATAAAATCCTTGATGTGACTTATATTCCGATAACGAAGCCGTCTAAAAAAAAACACCGTACTTTTCATCACAATATAAATTTACCCTATCAGTCAGCGTATTTACTAATTTTCCAGCGTGTACTTTTTATCAATACTTTTGTTATCTTTGATAGTTTCAATGTTCGGCGAGAACACTATTTTACCAAGGTAAAAAACAATTCAAATCTAAATTCTAAGCAACCGTTAAGAATTTGCGGTACTAGAGTTTCAGCGTAGCACAGTAGGCTACCGTCATAGAGGCGATCAAGAAGTAATCAGACCCTGTCGATGGAGATCAGGTCGTCGATTTGCTCGGAGCTAGGCGATTCGTCTTCGTCACCTTCTGGAATTGTTGCACAGCTTTTCGTAGTACCGGCTTCGAACGATGTTATCCGACTGTCTGGCGTGCCAAGTAATGGAGTGGCTGACACTCGATCTAGTATTAATTGATATTTGATTGGAAATTTCTTTATATACTTAGTCGAATATAAGCAGAAAAAAACAAAGCTTTGAGCGCAGGGATTTTTCCATAAGATTTGCCAGAGTTTTAACATTCTGCTCCCTTAACCAGGCATAAAAATTTTATAGAGACAGGAATTGATGGTGGGGCAATGATAAATCTGTGCAAATAAATCCTTTATTAATAGCACATTATAACTGCAGCTAAATGCAAATTAGACAAAGGACTACAGTGAAGGTAATGCTGTTTTTCTGGAAAGAGACCAATCCTGGCTCGTGTGAAGTCGCACATCAATTACTGCTACAATCAATACTCATTCGAATCTCTATATATTCAAAGAGGCTGCTATAGCCGTCTTCGAGGTTTAATTACTCCAGTGGCATACGTATCGAGAAAAAAATCCAAACAAAGGGTCATTTCCATATCATAGATGACAGCCATGTGCCACTGATTGTAAGAAGACCCAGGCAGATTTCACTTGGCAGATCTTGCCATTGTTTGCCTCCTCTTTCCTACGATCTAAGGTGGCTAGTGGTGCGCGTGGCACTGAAGAGGTGAGCGAAATAAAGGACAATACTGAATCTCAATAGGATCTCCACTTCATCGACTCTTTTTAGCAACCGTTTTCTTCTTTTTTTCCTTGAATAGTGTTTGTCATCGAGGAACTGTGATGGCCAAACTGATAGCGAAATTGAAAAAGAACGGGTTTGTTTCCATGAATTAGCGGAGCGAGCAGGACCGATATCTTACACAGATGTTATGTAGAAATTAAAAATTGATTAGTGGGGCGAGCTGGAGCAGTAGCTAGTGATATGGGTATCAGGTGGTAAGGTGATAAGCAAGCTCATGGCTCAATCACCTCCCGAACACGATCTTTTGATCAACCAAGAACTTTTGGCTCGGCTTCTCTCAAGACTGCAAGGAGACTTGCCTCAAGGATCATTCTATGACATTCATAAAGAGACGGAAGCGTCAAGCCGCAGTCAAAGAGGCACGTGAAATATTCGAAGACCGTTGTGGAAAATTAATTCGGGAAAACGAATCGAATTCACGAAGTGCTGAGATCCGTACAGTGTATTGTAATATTGAACCGAGTAAAATTTTAATAAATGATATCACTTTAATACGCAGCAAGTAGCATAGCACAACTCACAACGACTAGCGTTCAACGGTACAATCATTGTCTTGCCATGATATGAACGGCGTGGTGGTGGTGGACTATCTAACGAGGTAAGACGAACAGCTTGAGGTAGTGCTGGCTGAAAGAAGAAAAACAGCATATAATGAAAAAAGTTCCAAAAACAATCATAGTAATATTGGATAAGTAATTTCAAAAAACAAGAGAATGGAACTTTCGATGTCACACACTTCGCTTGTTTAGATAACTACAGACCGACGCTA